GATTCCATATCCAATTAGATTTATTACCACGTGCAAACTAGGACCAACTAGGACCACATAACGTAATTAATATGGTTGGTTATAAAAGTTCAATTGAATGGTTTGGGTTAGAATTATTCTCCCTTTTTTATTTTATTTATCTTTTTGGAAAACAATCTATTTATCTTTTTGGAAAACAATCGTATTAAGAAAACTAATAAATATGTATGGATTTGATGAGAAAAAACATAATAGATGATTACAATAGCTCATCTCATTAAAATATGATACATGCATCGTTGGAAGTCTAAAATGATAAATAATTTGAAATGAAAATTTTCTGTAAAACAAAAATTAAAATGGGAAGGAGATAATAATATTTTTACTATTCTAAAAGATTTCATTAAATAACTTGTTCCTAGTTCAGAAATTTAGGGATGACCCAGTTTCTACTATCAAAGTAGAGGTCTAGGGTTCAAATCATACCCCTCTCTTACTTCCCTAATTTGTAATTGGATTTGAATTTTAAGGGAAAAAAAGTTTGACTAAATTCATATTTACCCACCAACAATATAAGATAAATATGGTAGATGTAATTATGTAAAAATGTTAGATTTGTTCGTAAATCGACCTTACCTCTCAGGGGGTTGATTGTAATTTACCCTAAACCTGTTCACGGCCGGATCTTAACAGTCCAACTCAAGAATCTTGCTACAACAGATCTCTCATTTTTTTACATCATAGAAGTTGTTGAAGTGCAAACAATGTCCCACATCGGTTTAATATGTGAAAGATCAATGGTTCATAAGGAGGGGATAACAACTCTATTGGTATGAGGTTTTTTTGGGAAACCCAAAAGCAACATCAATTGGGTTCGGCCCAATCTGAACAATAGTATAACAATATAGAGTTTTTGCTATTCCGACGGCTCGCTCCAACTTGTGTGGTCCGACCTATGGAATACCCAACTTGGCCCTCCAACTTCAAGTGAGAGGCTTGGTGATCCTTTGTGTGGTCCGACCTATGTAATACCCAACTTGGCAACATATTTGCAGGAAAATTGATTTATTTTATTATTAATCAAGCAAAATTAATTGAACTCGGCCCAATTTGTTCCGGTGGGAACTCAATAGAGGTTTTACACATGTAGCATGGATTCGACCACACTTCTTAGAGGTTTTACACTATGTTTAAAATGCATTAATCTCATTTGAAATAGTTTAGGTTGTGAATTAAATTCTCATTCATCTCATACTGAATTGGAACAAGAACAAATAAGATACAACAATCTTCTAAAACCGTAGATTTTGATTCCATAAGTTGTTTTCTAATTTTCAACATGAATTCTACTTCAAAATTTAATTTAAATGTGAGGTCATCACCTCAATTTTCCATCACTTTTATGTAACACCCATCACCTCTTTCTTTTATCCTTTTTTTTTTCTCCTTTTAAATAAAGCCTAATGAGTTATGGGGCCTATAAATAATTTAAATTCATTAGTTGGAAATGTCGATTATTTGGCCATCATATGGGGTTATTACTATAATTAGAGGTTGAGATAATTCAATAATGAAATATATATATATATATATATATATATATATATATATATATATATATATATATATATATATATATATATAGATATATATAGATATAGTATCAAAATCGTATTTGTTTCCTCAATATATACAAATAGAAAAACATTATTTCTCACAATTGGAAAGAGTAATTAGTGGAATACATATTATGTCATAATACGTATTGTTTTACAAAAGAATAATTTATATTTATTAACTTTTTTAACATTGGTGCTTGGGGTAACTGAGCTGAGCTGGTTCGACAAAAGCTCGAATTCGAACTCAATTTTTTTGAGCTCGAGTTTCTAACGAGTCGAGCCCAAGCTCATTCTTAGTTGTTTGTGAGCTTGCGAGCCGGCTCGAGATTTTTTCTTTTAATTTAATTCAATTTTTTTTTAAATATGATTAATGTAAAATAAATGATAAATTCATAGAAGTAATAAATAAAAAAAATTACTAGTCATTTTCTTTCGAAATTTTTATTACAATTTATAGTAATAAAATTCTAATAATATTAATAAAAAAAAGACACAAAATGGCTCAGACTCGAACTCGAACTCAAGCTCGACTTCGACAATCTCGGCTCGCTCAAACTCAAACTTGAACTCAAGCTCGACTTCGACAATCTCAGCTCGCTCGAACTCGAACTCAAGCTCGACTTTGACAATCTTGGCTCGCTCGAGCTCGAGCCCAAGAAAAAAATACTCACAGAGCTTGAGCTCGAACTTGGCTCGTTTGCACATTGCTGAAATCTTAAACGTCAATAATTTTAAGGGGACTTTAGCAATAAGTCCCTTTCAAATTGCTAAGAATAGAACTAAGTCTACCCCTAAAATCATCATCTATGAGACGCCCCTAACACTTTTTGTACCGAAAATACTACCCCGAATATAAACAATATTTATCATTATTTAGTCTACAATTAGCATTTTCATTTCTTTTCATATTACCATTTTTTATATATAAAAAACCTTAATCGATGTCCACACACAAATCACAATTTCATTTTTGATATTACAAATCAAACAAGCCTACATGCGACAATATAGATTCAAAAAGTCCCATGTATCACATCATTATATATTAGAAAAAAAAATCCATACATAACTTAAATATGACTACGTATGATTGTATATGACTACAGGGCCAATCACAGTCGATTAATAAAATGGGTTGCTTGAGGGTGCTTTCGCCTGGCGGCGCTTCTTCTCCGATGGTCAAAACTGCACGATGTACCTATCGTTAGCTTCGTCTCCTTGGGGTGCATCGTGGTTTGTACTTTTTATGGTTTTATCCTTGATTGCGAGGGGATTGACTTGTGTGTTGCGCTAGAGGTTTTCTCAAATCTCGTCGGTGCTCATTTATTTGCATCAATATAGTACAAGGGTGGTGGTGAGGAGGCGGATGCCAAGATTTTTTGGGGATATTGAAGTGGTTGGGAGGAGGGAAGGTGAAACCCTAGGCGGCGGCTATGTTTGCAGCTAGGGTTTACAACGTTAGGGGCACATATCTCCATCGTGCATCAGTCTGACAAGGGGTGGTGTGTAGGGGCGGCGGTAGGTTGTTTTGGGGAGGTTTGACATCCCAGCGAGGTGTGATGGCGGAGCCCTAGGCGACAATTGTGGTCAGTGGCTAGGTGAGCGGATTACAGCGGTGGTCTAAAAAGTGGAAGAAAATATGCGACGACGATGGTGTAAATTTGGAAGAAAGAGAGCAACGAAGGGGACGACAATTTACAGAACTGAAGGAAAAATAGAGAAATTAGAGAATAAAAGAGAAAGAGTTACATACATAAATAAATCTGAAATATTAAATGTCGTTTCAATTTTACTAATGTCGTTTTGACTTCGAACCTGATGTTGACATATTTCTATTTTGATTTTGGCAAAATTCGAAACACGAAAACTGTAGTTCTTTGGGTTAGCTTTCTAATCCAACTTAAATCCGCTAGATTGGATTCCGTGTGACAAAGTTATGCATGAATGAGTCACATTTTGAATTTTAGATACCTCAATACATCAAAGTTGTGGGCATTATTCATTGATTCATATATATCTTTCTTCGTCTGACATCCAATTTTGGTGATTCAAGTTGGTTTAGAAAACTAACTCAGAATACTACAAATTCTATTTTTCGGGTTTTGCAAAATTTGGAAATAAAAATGATCAAAATCACGTTTGAAGTCGTAACGGTATTATTAAAGCTCGAGCGACATTTATCACATCCCTTTTAATGAAGAAATACAAAATTCATTATCAAGAGGGGTAAAATAGGGTTAATACATTTTTGAGTTGGTCTTATTAATTCAAAATGGAATTTATGTGTATGAAAAAGTCTTTAAATGGTAATTATTTCGAAATATTTTCTAAATTAGGTGTATTGCAAATTACACATTTAAAGAGAGAGGGGTATAATTCCACTTTGGCAACTCAAAAAGGAAAGAGAAAAAGGGGAAAATCTTTCTTCTTTTCAATTGAGCTTCGTTTTTCTAACCCTGCAATAAAATATTCATCCTTCTGCCAATTTACTATATTTTAATACAATAATTTTCAGTACACACATAATCACACACACTGAGACCCCACACAAACACACACACATATATATATTATATATGTATAAAAAATAATTTGGCTGAATAAAAAGTTAAGCTTTATGCTAAATTTTCAAACAAGAGCAATAAATGCAGAGTCAGAGAGTAGCATGATTCAATTGGTTCTTCTTTCTCTATTTTTAATTATTATTTTATTTCCTGTGCTGGTTGGTTTTCTCACTGACCCGAATTGACTACTCCACCATTTTTCTTTTTCTTTCTTCAAATTAATTAATTTATTAATTAATGGCGATTTTTTCTACTGATCCTGGTTGTCAATTCGGATCAATCACACACACACACACAAAACACACACTCGTGAGTGTGCAATAACTGCGGAGCAGTTCTGAGTTCTGAGTTCTTCGACTGAAACAAGATTCCTTTTTTTTTTTTGGGGTTTCAGAGTTTGAGCAATTTCAGATGAAATGGGCTGGCTGCGAATTCCGATAAACTGAGCTGAAGAATTCATTTGTCATGGGTTGTGTTCTGGGAAAACGAGCCGCCGGTAAAAGAGAGGCTCGCCGGAAGCAGACAACCGACGAGCGCCCCGATTCGGAATCCGCCGCCGCCGCCGGCGCGGCGGGAAGGGCTGAGGAGAAGAAGACCGAGGAGGTCCCGACCGCGATCGCTGCGGCGGCGGCGCCGCCGGAGTTCAGACTCAGGAGGGGCCTATCCAGCGGCGGCGAGGTGTGGCCGTCGTGGCTGAACGAAGTCGCCGGCCACGCCATTAAGGACTGGAAACCCCGCCGCGCCAACACCTTCGAGAAGCTCGATAAGGTAATCGCCGCCATTTTCATTTTATTCAGCATTAATTTCAGCAAAAAAAAAAATACCTAATTTTGATTAGAAAAAGTACAACCCTGGTATGCATGCATCTCCCAATTTTTCCTATCAAGGTACAACACTACAAAGCAAGGTCATTTCTTGTTCAAGTACAAAAGCTGCAAACCCTTGCCCAAATGGGTTTACAGTATGAAAAAATCAAGAACACATTCTTACTGCAATTTGTAATTGAGCATTTTGTTTTATCGAATTAATTCTGAATTCAACGCTCGATTTCTGGATAAATCGAACAGATTGGGCAAGGGACATACAGCAATGTGTACAAAGCAAGGGATTTAATAACCGGTAAAGTGGTGGCACTTAAGAAAGTAAGGTTCGATAACTTAGAGTCAGAAACAGTCAAATTCATGGCTAGAGAGATACTCGTATTGAGAAAGCTGAACCATCCGAATGTAATAAAACTCGAAGGTCTCGTTATTTCAAGAATGTCGAGCAGTCTTTACCTCGTTTTCGAGTACATGGAACATGACCTAGCTGGCCTAGCCGCTGTCCAACCTGCCAAATTCACCGAACCTCAGGTAAGTAAATGGGCTGTATTCAGATTATTTGTTTTACTATTTTACATCGATATGCATCTTTTTTCGGATAAAAATACGGAAAAAGTTTCATTTTTTTTAAAATTTTTCAGTGACAAGTGGGCTTTATTGTAATCTCACATGTATTTTTTTTGGACCCTTTTGACTCTTGTATGAGAGGCATTGTTCTAGTTACGAAATCGAGGATCTTTTACGTTTTTTTGGTTTGTGATGTAATGAGGTAATTTGGATTATATGGTTATATATATAAATATTTTTTTTGTCTCTAGTTTTGCATCATGTGCTTTTTGGATGCTAGTGATTGAGCTTTCTTCGTCTGTTACGGTCCCCACGGTTATGTTTTTCCTAGTGGTTATTATAGTGTCCAAAGGAGGATGTGACATTGATCGTAAAATATGATCGAACCATCTCATTTCTCTCTTTTTCTCTGAAAGTGAAATGCTACTATTTTTTCGTGGTTACTGCGATTGAAAGAGATCTTATTCGTTTGAAAGCATGCTAGTTTTTCAATCCAATGGAAGGAAAAACCAGAAACGTCACAATCGAAATCAATTGTGCTTTGTTTTGTTTTCATTAATCTCCCCTTTTCGATAATTTTAATTTCGTTTATTTGAGCTAAGCATTGACGTGTGTATTATTACAGCAAGAATCTTTTGATAGAGAAAATAAATGAACGGCACCATATCAAATACTAGTTCTCTGTTCACATACTACTTGCACGAACGCAAAGTACGAATTGCTGAAAAATCATTTTCTTTTTTTTTTGTCGGTGCAGGTGAAATGTTATATGAAACAATTACTGTCGGGTTTAGAGCACTGCCACAACAATGGTGTACTACATCGAGATATCAAATGCTCCAACTTGCTAATAGACAACGAAGGAGTTTTAAGAATAGCGGATTTCGGTTTAGCTTCTTTTTTCGATCCTCAACGAAAGAGACCAATGACAAGTCGTGTAATAACCCTTTGGTATCGCCCACCCGAGCTTTTGCTGGGGTCCACTTATTACAGCGTCGGTGTTGATTTGTGGAGCGCTGGCTGTATTTTGGCTGAGTTGTTCGCTGGCAAGCCCATTTTACGGGGAAGAACAGAGGTACTCTTTTTTATTCATTTATTTATTTATTTATTTATAAATATATGTCTGAATTGATAGCTAGTTATTACCTTATACGTATGGTGGCATCAATTTGTAGTTCAATTAATCATCACGGTATCTCAAACGTGGAATCTATTTTTTTTCATCAAAAACCTTTTTCATCGATTTTTAATAAATATTTTTTAGAATATAACTTGTAATGCTAATTTTTAATCAATTAAATTATTAAGCTATACGTAATCACATGAACCAAGTGCAAACGTACGTGTTGCTAGTCATATTTGAAAAAAAAAAAAAAAAAACTCTTAGTGACGATAGAAATGGAAAGTAATACATACAAGCTTGCAAATTCAAATTAGGTGAGTTCATAAATTTTGATCTAATCTGCAGCCTGCAAGTTTCACTGATCCGAATTGTCGGTTGATAGTTGATAGGATTTCTGTTTTACGGCACTTTTTGTTGCTTATAATTTTGTAATTTTGCTTATAATTTTGTAATTTTGCTTATAATTTTGTAATTTTACTTAAAATTGTATCGGTATTTTCTCCAAGCCATTTTTTTTATTGATTTAATATTTGCTTGCACCGTAGGTTGAGCAGCTGCACAAGGTTTTTAAACTATGTGGCTCTCCGTCAGAGGAATATTGGAAGAAATCGAGATTGCCAAATGCAACTCTTTATAAACCTCAACAACCTTACAAATCCTGCCTATCCGAAACCTTTAAGGATTTTCCGCCATCCGCCCTCTCTCTAATACAAACTCTTCTCTCCATTGATCCCGACGCACGAGGCACTGCCACGTCAGCATTGAACAGTGAAGTGAGTAATTGCTTTTGTTTTGCAAGTTAAAAATACTACTCATGGAAGTTTGTATTACGTAATTTTGATTTTTGTTTTCTTTTGTTGAAAAGCTTTTCAGTACGGAACCATATGCATGTGAGCCATCGAGCTTACCTAAATTTCCTCCAAGTAAGGAAATGGATATAAAATTGAGAGACGAAGAAGCTAGAAGGTTCTTTTACCTCTCTCTCTCCATTTTTTTTAGCCCCTTTTTACGATATCTTAATTGTGTGAATATTTATATTTTGGCTAATGTAGGCTACGGGGTTTGAGTGGGAAACCTCAAGTAGGTGTAGAAGGCAATAGACGACCGAGACCACGTGACAAAGTTACCCGTGCAATGCCAGCTCCTGAAGCTAATGCGGAGCTACAAACCAACTTAGATGTATGCCAAAACACATCCCGTTTTCTCTTTCCGTTCATTTTTTTTGTCTCTCTATGATATTGAGTCTTGAAGTTTGTTCTATGCTTTCGATCGTTTTCTTTCCCCCCAAAAAGAAATTCCTTATAAAAAAAAAACGATTCGTTTACATTTTTGTGTGTGCAGAGAATGAGAATAATGTCGGACGCTAAAGCGAAAAGCAAGAGCGAAAAATTCCCCCCACCGCACGAGGATGCATCGTTTGGCCATACTCTCGATTCATCTCAAAACGGACCTCTTTCTTTCGGTGCATCTCGTCATAGTAATAATAACACTTCGTTCACGTCTTCAATATTCGACCGAAAATCATCAAGATCTCTACGGAATTACACTACATCGAAAAATAATGCAGCTCCTACAAAGAGGAAAAACGAGATGGAAGAGCCTCAAAGGGCACCCTCAAGGAGCTTTATTAATGCTTTGTATCCATCTTCGGTTGGATGGGATTTCGGGTTCAGCCGAAGACGAACCGTTTCGGAAAATTTCAAGGATCGGAAGTAGAGAGAGAAAGAGAAGGGAGGTGAGTTTGTAGACAAATTTTTGAAACTCTTAGGTGCTTTTCTTTTTCTTTTTTTATAAATTGCAATGAAAGTACTTAAGAGTAATTTGTTGTAATGATGATTGGGGTTTGTGTATAATGAAGAAAAGATAGATTTTTTTATGAGAAATGATGGGAAAGTGGTTAATAGTGGATTGGATTCTCATCTTTGTTGTACATGTCAGATGTTCTTGTTTAGTGAAGCATTGATTATTTTACAAGTTTGCATCTGCCTATGTTCTTTACTTTTAATGGCGGAAAATAAACTAGTTTACAAAGAATTATGGTAAACTTGTATTAGAAATCATATATATCAGCGTTCTAAGTGGGGATATGAACGAGCCGAGCTTGCCTATTTTTGAAACTTATTTTTCTCTAAATGGATGATTTCGTATACATATTTATGGTCCATGATGTCAAACAAAGAACTCAAGTATAGAGTTTAATTTAGAGGGTGTTTGGCTAAAATTATTTTAAACAACTAATAAGCTCATACGTCTGATAAGATGTTTTAAGAGCTGATAAGTTGTTACATTTTTTTGTGGATTATTTTTTAGAGTGCTTGGATAATTAGCTTATTTCCTATTTTGACTCATTATAAGATCTTAAATGAAAATGTGGGGTAGAGGTATTTTTTTAAAAATATCTTATTTGTTCTCCAACAGCTTATTTTTAAGAAAATAAAGATCATTTTTAAAAAAATACCAAACATTTTGGAAGAGCTTATAAACTCTAAAACATCTCATAAACTCCTTTTAACATCATATAAGCTTAGCCAAACACCCTCTTAGTTAGAGAGTTTATCAAACGATAGTTTATATAGAAGTTTTTAGGGCTCTTTGAAATAACCTCTCAAATATTTCATTAATAGGAAAATGCCCAAACCATAATTTATTCTTTGAAATAAACTCATACTCCTTTCGAGAAGAGAGGAGTGAGATCAGGTCGAGGTGAGATACATGGCGGAAATAGGTGGGGGCCATGAAGAGGTCACGGAGATTGCCACAGAGGGTATTGGCAGAGCGGGTGGCGCGCTACAGGGCGTACCGCTTGCTGCAGACGATGGCGGTGGAGTTGCGACCGCACATGTCGTGCACGGCGGTGATTATGTTTTTTTTTTTCCCGCGAAATTTGGATTAAATTGGACGCTGATCGACTACGTTGTTTGCATAATCGATTAATAAATCAACTACAGTTAAACCTCTATAAATTAATACAATCGGGACTAGGGAAATTCTATTAATTTAGCGAATTATTAAAATATCAAGTTAATAATTTAACACGTTTTCACCGAGTCGGGACCGAGAGAAACTATTATTTAATTGAGGTTATCGATTTCTCGAGGTTCTATGTATGTTTATTTATAGTCGCTATGGTCGATTAACATCCAGTTTAATCCAAATTTTGCGAAAAAAACATTAAGAAAAAAAGAAGGGGTGGAGTTCTTATATTATTTTTTAAGGGGTTATACCTCACATTATTTTCCCAAATGAGGGGGTCTTGCTAATTTTCCATGGTTTTTATAGATAGATGGCTGGGCAAATATAACACTTAGAAAATTAGGGTTTTGAAAGATAAATAACTTAGATATCAATCTTTTACCTCAAAATTTTGAATCTAAAATTGAAAAAAAAAAAAATATGATTCTAATTTTCAATACACTTTTAATTTCTGAATATAACAGAAAAATCAATAATATTTTAAATTCCAAAAATTCCCATCCGATTTTTTCTTTTTTTTTCCAATTTTGATCTGAATAGTTTTACTTGACAACATTCGTCTCTAATTTGCTTTCCTAATCAATTTAGATAATTTTAGTTATTTAGATATAATAAATCAACTCAATTTGATTCGTCTTGTGAGTATTTAGTACTTCGAATTAGACAGTTAAATATTCCATGTGGATTCAAGATCCAACTATTCTATTTTGACTTTACTACTTGTTACGATACGTACACTTGCGTGTAAATTTTTGGCCAAACGCCGCTCCCTCAATAACAAATATTAGTTTCTTCATGATGCATTAAGAATGCACATTTCATGTTTTATTACATTGGATGAAAGGTTTCAGATTGTTGTCACCTCCATTATCTGTACATCATTACACATTTCTCTCTCATTGTCCCTTTTGTAGTAAACAAAATTCATCATCAAGACAACAATAGATCATACCTCTTCTCCACTACTTGAAGAAATCTCCATGAAACTAATAGGCCGATTTGTACTTTGAACGACGATAAGTTCGCTGAATTGAAATTAGTTGGACACCATAACTGTGGATTGGAGAAAAGAAAGACGGTTTCTTGTTAAGGTTAATTTCTCTTCGGCTTCTGCTGCTTTTTCTTGAACCCCACGAACAATATCCTCTGGAGCTTTCTCTACAAACTGTACATAGTCATAACACAAATCATGAGATCTTAAAGTGGTCAAAGGATATAGATAGAAACGTATTGATAGGTAACGAATACACAGATTTCTAACGAATTGATGTAAGATGCTCAGATAATTAGCTAAAAATTCATTATTACCAGTTACCACTCCTTTCTAACTAGACGTATAAAATCACACCAATCATTCTAACACTGCAATTCTTTAAGGCCCTTGTGTTCGTTCGTCAATAAAATGATAATCGCTAGTTTTTTACTATAGAATCTGCCGCCAATTTAAGGTGAAATCATGCACAAGTTCCCTACACATAACTGTCTTGCTTTAATGGTCCGAAAGAAAAGTGCAAGATTTAGTTGTACTAGCACGTGACACGTACATTGCACGTGACGTTAGTAAATTATTTATGTATTGATTCATAATTTGATTGAACTTGACATTAAAAGCAATATTATAAAAGAAAAGGTACCTATTAAAAATCTAAATAACACAAATTATTCCAGATCTTCCAAATTGACAAATTTCGGCAAAGAAAAAAAAATGCCGATGCACACATTACTAAATGATGATAGGATTACGAAGAGTGAAGTAATTATGACCTCAATCATATTTCACCTAAATAATCATAATTAATCGATATTTTAACTCAGTGATAGGGGTATAATAGGTATTACAAAAAAGCTACGAAACGTAAAACATTAATATTTCATACTTTTAAAGGTAGAAAAGGATTTTAGCAATTACTTACACTGGGAGAACTTAAGCGAGCCATGAGACCATCATACTCGGTTTGCATTTTAGCAAGGCGTTTAGAAAGACGTTCGACTTCGCTAGAGATATCTACCATATCTGCAAGAGGAAGGTAAGCTTCCAAACCTTCACTGGCAACAAGATGGACTGATTGATTGGCATCTCCTGCAGATTATTTAAATAAATAAAAAATTGCCAAAGGAGATTAATTACAAGATGCAAAAAGACCGATTCTATCCTCGCAAAAAAAAGGTGATTTTTTTTTCACATACCTGGGGGTGATTGTGTAAAACTGACATTCTGCAAATCTAGTCTAGAGAGGAGAGCCAAAACTTCCCTTTCTTTCTGCACCATGGGGTGAAGATAAAAAATCTTTACTAAATAATAAGGCAATGTGATAGCATTTTAATGCTAAATCAATTGAAGCAGATATATAATTTCAACATAGACGAAACAAAATGGGTATGTTGCTGCTACAATTTCTCGGAGTTCTTCGAGATTTTTTCGTCACGACATTGAAGATTTAACTAAACAAAGGGTAACTGAATCTCATAGCAAAACAGTAATCACCATTTTATATTGTTTAAAACTATTTTACTACAACTGCAAGCACAAAAGTATGACTGATTCAATCCAATAGGCTGAAGAAAGAAGTCGGAAAATTGGCCAACTTACAGAAATATACTGGATGACTTCTGAATTTGCAACAATCGATGCAGATATACGCCTTGCTGGTTCAACAGAGTACTCTGCCCGTGCATTTCGAATTGCTCTTGTCTAGAATCAATGTAAATGCAAAACAACCATTTAGATCCACAGAATCCTATAATTGTCCCATTGACTCGTCAAGTGAGAAATAACTTTTAAGAAAAAACTGAAAAGGGTTACCAAAGCTTGTAAATTCTCGAACTTCTTGATGGAATCTGTTTGCCTTGGAAGTGAAGTCACAGGCCAAGCCGACACTATAAGAGCTTCTTCTCGATTGGGTAAGGACTGTAGGGGAAAACATAGATAAGTAAAACATGGGAAAACATAGTATATTTTTGGCCCATATACATTTATTTAGATAATTCTGAAAGAATTATTCAGATAAGTTAAACAGTTGAAATGAAGTCTTGCATTACCTGCCAGAGCTCTTCAGTAACAAATGGCATAAACGGATGCAGTAATTTTAGTATGTTTTCAAAGACATATAAGAGAACCGCTTGTGCCACAGAAGCCGTCGAGTCACCTCCAGACTGATATAAACGGGATTTACTTGCTTCAATATACCTAAATCAGGAACGGGAAAGCATGAGCTGGTGAAAAAAGGAAGATATGCAATAACCATAAGACTGACTAACATTCTGATTGTTATGAATTGGTCGTGCATCAATAAAGAAGCAGGACATATTTTGAGCTTTAAGATAATAACACAAGCAGACGAAGACATGTCATCACACAAAAATAGCACATCACATCAGAACTCTAATACTCGCACCTTACTCGTTTTCAGAATAAATTGCATCTAGAGAAACACTTCTTTGTTCTTATAGGTTATTATGTCATGTCAATCTAATTGTTAAACTGATAAAAGCAGCTCCAAATCAAGGTTAAAGATTTGAGATCCATGGTTTACGTTTGAAGATGGTTGCCTTATAGAGTGGAGTCGAGAACAATTGGAACAAAAAAATATATTGAATAGAAGTCTCTAGAAGCCCAAAAAAAAACGGCATACCAATCAGCAAAATCAGCCCAAAAGAAATCATAAATTTCTCTTGCAACATCTCCAAAGAAAAACTTGTCATAACTCGTGGTGACAGCATCTATTAGCATGTGGAGTTTTGATACCTGCATAAAACTTGTGTTAACTGGACGAGGAAATGATATTTACGATGTCATAAAAAAGATGCAGGATTTTATATCTTTACCACCCAGCATTCTGGCAGAGGTAGCTTGAACAGTGACTCTTCTGTATCAAACTGCAAAAACACGGGACTGATCGCATACTTAAAAAGGAAAGCAAATAACTTCAAAATGTTGTGTGCACAAATTAAGAGGTGGAAGAACCTTGAATTCCTGCATAGCTTTGCAAGCAGATAAATCGCTTTGAGGAGGCAAATTCTGCAACACAAACTTGCCAGCATTCCACAGTTTGTTGGTGAATGCTTTGTTAGAATTTAACCTCTCAGTTGATAAATTTAGATCCTGCGAAGATAGAAGTTATAAGATGACCAACCATAACATAGCCATAACAGATTTTGCTGATGCGAAGGAAATACTTAAAAAGAGAAAGAGAGACAAACCTGACCAGGCGTTCCTAGAGAAAGACTGAAACGTAGAGCGTCAGTGCCATACTCTTTGATCGTATCAAGTGGATCTATAACATTTCCTAGGGTTTTAGACATTTTACGGCCCTAAAAGAATGGAAAATACGAGTTTGAAAGTACGTCAGATTCCACAAAACATGGTATTGCATGAACATTAAATATTTAAGACCAACAAGTAATTTTAAAATAAGACGGAAAATAAGATTAAGAGAAACAAACGAGTAGTTATAAAACATTCAGAAATAGTTTTTTCATCAGCTTCACGACAATGGCAACATAATATTGTAACCATTACAGCAAGCCTGGTAAGAGAAGCAACAGCCTAATATGCAATTTAATGTGTATTTAAACATAGCCATCTCAATGGTATATGAAATGAACCAGCTTTAAATCCCATAATGGATTATTTTTTAATACAAGTCGAATCCAATATACTTAACTCTGAGAAATCAAAGCATGTTCCTGTTATCAAGAACATCAACAACTAAGAGTAAGAGCCCACAGGAGCAGAAGGATGACTTGATTGCAATTATTTGAAACAGAATCATCGAACACATAAACTAACACCTAGCAGAATTAGCATATAAAAGCAGAAAAAACATTTTAGCATGAAGTTAAACCCACGAAAAAAGTTAAAAGGCTAAGCTAAGCTAAAAGCTGCTGGATTGTGATTATTAGAGAAACACGGAAATCACTGCCATATATTCACTGAGGCCGTACTATGTGCCTCACATTTGACTCACTTGCGAATCTCGGATAAGTCCATGAAGGTAAATATTTGAAAATGGAACTTTCCCAGTGAATTCTATTCCCATCATCACCATTCTTGCCACCCAAAAGAACAATATGTCATGCCTGTTCAAATCAAGAAGCATAATAAGAAAGGATTTTTTTTCAGAGGGAAATAGTTACTTAGAGAAAGAGACAACAGTCCTTTTTCTGGGTAGTAATACCATCTTATGGGGTACAAATATGCTCAAGATAAAGGATAAATCCGACATAATCTGAACATATGAAGCCTCAAATAATGCAATGGATCAGTAACGAAGAGAATAATCGATTGAAGTTTCTACACAGGAGAACTAATACCATCAGAACGGATGGAAGGAATTTGGTAAAGGGGAAGGTGGGACCATCAGCAAACTTTGAATTAAATATAGTCATAGATACTAAAAAATGTAAAGAAAAAGCCCAAGCAGAAATATAAATACCCGGTCTCAAGAACTGATGTAGGATAAAATTCCTTAAAATCCTTTGCTGACACGTCCGGCCAGCCGAGAGTGCTGAAAGGCCACAGTGCACTAAGAGAAAGACAAATGGGATGAGGTTAGGCACTCCTTGAAGTTATTAAATAGCAAGAACACCCTCTTAAACCACTTCGCAAACTAATTCCCTTTCATGATTCATTTTAAGGTTGTATTAAATAACTTGATATTTGATAATGTCATATTAACAAGGTAATGAAGTAATGTTTTCTCGAAGCAACATAATTATCTCCCGGTAACCAATAAAACAAGCAGTTGAAAATGCAAATAAAATAGTGTTTAGAAATTAAACAAGGAAAGTATATTATATATTATATATGTATATGTATATATGCTTGTTTTCAGTTCCATCAGAAACCTGTAATGGCACTGTATAGATTTGATACATAGTTGCTTCAAAGAATCACCAGCTAATTTTTGGAGCCAAAAAAAAAATGATAAATGTTACTCATATCATATCATTCTTGGCATAATACTGGTAATTCATATATTATATGCGCTTGATTCAATGCAGACTTTTATTTGAGAAAAATCGGAAAGATGCTAGACAAAGATAAAAGCATTATGACAGTTATACCAAAAAGTGCTCAACAACAAACCTCGAAAACCAGGTGTCAAGAACATCAGGATCCTGATATATTTCAACATTTTGTCCATATTTTTTACGAGCTTTTTCAAGAGCTTCATCAGTGCAGCTAGCAACTATGTAGTCCTCTTCACAATCTTTACCTACAATGTACCAAACAGGTATACGATGCCCCCACCACAGTTGCCTGCTTATACACCAGTCCTTGATATTTGATAGCCAGTGATTGTATATCTAGAACCATCACGTACACATGTAAGAATACAAGTTCAACTCCAAGCAAACAGTTGAAAATCTTGAGTAAATAAAAGAAACTGATGTCTGTAGATAATCATGCTTTTAGTTGTCATTTATGTTCTGCTCAGGATTCGAAAACAAGTGGTGCTCAATGAGGCATTATCAAGAACACTAGCAGCTTCAAAGGCTAATAAAGGAATAAAATTAAGATAGGCAAGGGACAGGTGGGAATGAAAAAACAAGGTCTAAAGAGCCAAACAAAGAGCAGAAAAGATGACTAATATCACATACCTTCTCGAATCTTTCGGGCATGATAGTTAATTCTCCCTTTTCCACTGCTTGGAGAGCCTTCTCTGCTAAGGGCTCCATTGTCACAAACCACTGCTTGCTTACTAGAGGCTCTATTATCTGATTAAAGAAACTTCATATTTAGAACAAAAAAGACATAAGCGCATTTTCAGACAAACACTATGAAAAACTTGCACACCTCTCCACCACGTTGGGATCTTGGGACTCGTAGAGTGTGAACCTCTTTTTTTACCGCTAGCCCTGTCTCCTCAAGCTCTGACCAAAGTTTCTTTCTAGCCTCAAACCGATCAAGACCACTGAACCAATTTAATTCAATTAAAATACATTAGGCAAAATGTGAATTCCTTTACCACTGCAGAAACAGTTTGACTCCCCAAAATATCAATATACCTGTATAATCCAGCAATTTCATTTAGTGTCCCATCCTTATTCATGACATTGAGAATGGGAAGACCAAGTTTCCGAGCAAGAAGGTAATCGTTGTGATCATGGCCAGGACTTATCTTCAAGACGCCAGTTCCAAAGTCTTTATCAACATACTACATCATCAACACGAAAGTATATTCAGATACATCCTATTAAAAGACAAGTTGAAACTTTGAAACAATTGTAAAATCACTGTATTTTAAGTGGTTAATTATAATGATATTCCTGATTGGATAAGAATAAATAGTGGGGTAATTTTCTTTATTTATTACTCTTCTCGTTGTAACACGCCTATATAACTAGTATCCTTTTCATCATGCAGAAGAGTCATGGTTACAGTTGCATTGGTGTTGATTGTGACCTATTCCATATCAAGGATCTTCAAACGTAAAACTATAGTGCATCCTAAGATTTTCTTGATGTCCTTCATCTTAGTTCAAGTAGAAAACACCAATTAGCATTTGATGTAAAACTTGAGAGCAAGTGTGAAGGATAAAAGCTGTTATACTTTGAAATAGTAATAAAAAACAACATAAGTGATCAAAATTGTAATATTTATGATTTCATATGATTTAGTAGTGACTTGATTTCCTCCATTTCATAAATAGCTGGTCCTCGTAATCCAATAAGAGAGAAATAATATATGTGTTATAACCATTTGGGGTTCTCGCACATAGATGTAAGCTGACAGAACCAACTTATTAAATTGTGTTTTCTTTTTTCTCTTGTTTATAAAACCAAAAATGCAACATATCTACATAATTAGAAGCAACAAAAGAAAACTTATAGTTATCTGAAAAATTATATTAGAAATAAGAAACTGAGAGTAATTGGAACAACAGTGTCCCATGGCTACTTGAAGATATGTACAGAAGAAAGATATAAGATTATGGAAACTCTTAATTCAGTTCTTAACCGTTCAAGTAACTCTATAAGATTCATTGGTTTATGCGAAAAAGAATAATGAAATTTAGGTCCTTTAGGATTTGTCCTTTACATTACGAGAATACACTCCAGAAGAAGATGGATACAGATTATAACGTGCTCTTCAGTTCTGAACTTGTTTAAGTAACTCTATGATTTATGGTTTATACTAAAAGATAATAAAAATTTGGATCATGTATCTGGTCAAAGCAGCAAGTACCATAAGCATGAGATATCTTTACCTTGTCAGAAATAATCGGCACATGGCGGCCATAAGTCATTGGGACAATTGCCTGCTGTCCGATGTACTTACGATAGCGTTCGTCCTAAGAAACATTAACACGGGTATTAGGAGAATGAATCACTAAACGTAAAGTCATGCATATAGCACATAGCCACATACATACAAGGAATGTGTTTCATCAACTAGTTTCATAAAGAAGTTAAATTCTATGGGCTCTCGGAACATAAAACGGGCCTTTAATTGAATGTGTTTTATTTGAGTACCTCTTGCAGTCATCTATCTATAAGAATCCAAAAAGACGATAGAATTCTATTAGAAGCAATATGTTGATATCCAAAGTGATTAAGCTTAGACAGTAAGTCTCAAGATTACTATTCTGAGTGGTTGAACAACAAACCTAAAGTATTTATGATTCTGAAGTGTTACTCCCAGCTTATCTTTTAACCTAGTCATATTTTTCTTACTTTCGTCAATTAAAGGTTTCAGCTTGTGTGCTGCTCCTAAAGAAAGAGAAGGAACATTACTGACTTCCCGTCATCCTCCTAATCTATTTTGTCTCAGTGACGGAAGCTATACATATACTTCACTGAGATAACATTGTTCGACTCCTTTACCAACTCTGTCTACTAAGTAGGTCGGTAATTCTCTAATGCAGTCCTTTTCGAGTTCTCTTAGATCATCAAAAATCTACTAAGCTGTTTATGGGCATTCTTCATTGTGGTAACCGATAAGCTATTGATCTTGCTAACCGTTTACATATTTCCAGATGACAATGAGTTTTAATTTATGCAGCAAATGTAAGATTCTCATTTTCCTATCTTCTTAAAGTAAGATAAACACTCAGAAGGATCTTTTACCCACTTGTGGTTCAGTTTCAAATTGACGAGCATTAAAAACAGATAAATTTACCTCGGGATGCACCGCTACAGCAGTATCACCAAACAAAGTCTCTGGCCTTGTGGTTGCAATTGTCAGAAAGTCATCCCTGTGATATGGAGGAAAACAACTTTGCTAAGAACGACAGAAGTTTCATCAGAGCAAAAGACAAAATAAATTCATCAGTAAATGGAAGTAACATATCATAGTAAGACCTCACCAAAAGTTTGATCACACACACGCAAGCTACTAAAAAAAACTAGAAGACGTTTTCCCAATGAAGTAAAATTTCAACATTTTTTTTTTGAAAAAGGAATAAACGAAAGAGAATTGATATTTCTGTTTCTATTCTATTAAAATAAATATTACTTCTACTTACCTTTTCTTGTGAATGAGTAACAGAAAATATATTATGTACATACTACATGTATATACGTATTTTGTGGATGATTGTTAAAGTTGAGCCCACTACTCAAGAAACTGTGTTAAGCTTCAGAGACAGTGAATAACTTTTAACATCATTTGACGGTTTTCTCCTACAAATACTCCACCGGAGTTCGGTCGTATATGGCGTATAAACTATTTATAGTTCGTCCGGATGGTAAAGTACTACAGGAAATAGTACAGACGACAAAGTGTAAAGCGCGCATAGTTTGGATGGCAGAATACTTTTTCCATAAACTATAATGAAAATGAAAAGTAAAAGAAGGTATTTATAATTCATTAATGATGAGAAATTTTTTTGCTTTAATGAAGAGGTTGCAAGATCTAATTTGAAGAGTTTAGCCGATAAGAATAATACCTTGAACCACCAGCAACACGGTACTTAATGTGGTATAGAGCACCTGGTTCTTCTGAGTACTCCACTTCCTAAAAGAAGAATAAATTTTGATATAAGACAAACTACCACGAATATGAATGGAAAAAATAAATATAATTTGTGTACCAAGTCCGAAACTGCAGTCTGTAGATTGGGGGACCAGTTGACCATGTAAGAACCTGTAAGAAACTAGTTGTTACTACGTAAAAGTATTAAATTTTCATCACAGCTCAGCAAAGCTCGAACCACAAGTTTCCGCTAAAATACATGTGTAATGCTTTACATCAAGGTAAAATCCATACCAATTATCTGAGTTGCATAAAATTGCAAGGACGGGTAATCCTTAGAGATCCTTATTTTAAAGTTTGTGGGGAGACGAATGATCGAGTAGGAAAAAAAAACAGCTGTCATTTTGACAGATATGTTATAGATTTCATTACCATGATAGATTAGGCCTTGATAGATTAAACAGCTGTAGCAACGTAAAACTAAATATCATTACCTTGATAGATTAGGCCTTTCTCATGAAGCTTAACAAACGCTTCGACCACTGCTCCTGCAGAAGTTAAAAGAACAAAATTCACTACAAGCTATGAAATTTTATTTCACTAAAAATAATATATGCAGTTGATGAATGGCAATGCTAAACTTTCTTAGTAAGACAATGGAGATAAGAAGATAATTAACCAAACAAAACCTCGGATATAATCATAAATAACCTACTCATGACAGCTTGGCACCAAATCATGCCATGTCCTAGATACCATATAATACTGATATTTTATGCATTATGCATGGTTGATGGGGGAATTTACAGGGCGAAAACTGCCTTACGACTCAGCTGAGCATCTAGTGTAAAACGTTCCCTGGTCCAATCACAAGAAGCACCCAGTCTCTTGATTTGATTTGTGATTGTTCCACCATACCTACAATTAATACGGTGAAATGAGCATTTCAATACACTAACACTAAAGAAATAAGAAATGACATAGTGGATCAGTAACTTCCAAATTAAAGGAAGTGTCTTCAGAACAACATTAGGCTACTCATTATTGAACAAAAAAATTGGGACTCCAGAAAGCTTTACCAACTCTAAATGGTTATGGAGCAACAAATCGGAAAATAGAGAATTGATCCATATTGATAAGATTGCCTTGTTAGATTTATCGTTAGTACTTCTTTAAGTTCTAAAATACTTGTCCTATTTCTGATCCTCGAATCTAAGCAATTCAAAGATGGTCAATGAGACTACTCTAATTGTCAAATACTAGTAAAAGGTCACTAGTTCTCACCAATCGAAAAATTAGAGAACTGAAGGTACAAGCAGGCATAGACATAAGCAAAAAACAGAGTAATGCTGAAGGAGGATCAGAAGAATTACTTTTCCTTCCATTCCCAAACTCGTTTTGTAAATTCTTCTCTACCTAAATCAACTCTTTTTATTCCTTCGGCAGCCAGCATTCTTTCAACAACCAACTGAAAATAAGGAGGGTTTAGTTCAATGCCAGACAACAAATACACAGAAAACAGTAACTCAAGAATCATCAAAAAGTACATTTTATAAAGGATTTAGTAAAGAGAAGGAGCAACAATTTTGGCCCAAATACAGATATTAATAATGTAGAACCATTGGTGTGTATATACATATATGTGTGTGCATTTATATGTATATGTATATATGTCTGTGTGTGTGTGTGTGTATATATATATATATTTATATATATATATATATGGAAAAATCAATGTTTTTAGATATAGCATCAACCTGAGTTGCAATACCGGCATGATCAGTTCCAGGTAGCCAGAGTGTCGGTCTCCCTTTCATTCTATGGTATCTTACCATAATATCCTACAGTTGTAACATAATCAGTACCAGAAAGATAATGCTATTGAATTTCCTAATCCCAATATTAATTCGCAATTGGTAACAGAACAATGGTGTGTAAATGAACATAGAAAATCAATCACGATGAGAAGATGAAGAGCAAATGAAGCGAGCAGTGATGGAGATACTAGAAGGTAGAAACACATATAGATGTCCGGATTGGGTGAGAGTGAGAGAGGGAGGAGAAGAGACTACACTTTAATCTAAGGGATGTATGTAGTCATATTTTTTTCTCCAATCTTATTTAATTTGCACATTTAGTTCAATTGTGTCCCATTATTAGCATAATTTTAGTACAACGTTCAATTATCATTATCGCTGAGATTTTTTTTATTTTGCTTCTTTTCTAGTGCTCAGTATTCAAAATTTAATTAAAACTAGGTCTCTAGTTACCTTAATTTCTAAATATATGCACGATTATTTCTTGCTTAAATTAGGCTATAAGATTGCTATTCGATCCATAGGTTACAAATATATGCACAATTATTTCTTGCTTAAATTATGCTATGATGGATTTACAAATCACTTGAATGTAAAAATAAAACCAAGACTACAAATATAGATGTAATATACAGAACAAAGGATCGGAAAAAAGAAAATATAGGATACAAGCATCAAAATTTCGAACCTCGAGAGTCACAAACATAGCATGTCCCATGTGCAATGAACCAGTAACATTAGGTGGCGGCATTGGAATTACAAATGTGTCACTTCCCCTCTCAAAATTTGGCTTGAAATACCCTTGAGACTCCCACCTAGGATCGATCATTTATAAAATAATAACGATAGAGTGAAATGAGATTTAAAGCATTCAAAACGAAAATACTGAAAGTGCTTTGTCCTTTTGAACTCGTAACGCGGTCCCGCATGATATATGTTACGGGCTCAGGGTTCAATCTTACAATGTCATGTGCTTATAAATGTCGATGACATTCTAAACGAATCTTACACTGTAATTTTAGTAAATAAGCTCCGAGAAAAATACATCCGGAAGCATAAATTACAATCTCCTCTTATCGTACCTTCTACTGTACTATATACCACACTCAAAGATGGCAAAAAAGATTCAGCATTATAATCCAATACTCAATTTTCTACCAATCTATAAACGATAGCACGAACACTTTGTTCTTCAGAACATCGTGACATTTCAAATGAAATTACTTTTATACAATTGCCGTTGATTAAAGCTACAGAATAAAAATTACTACTATTCTAAAACTTCCTTCATCCCTTTCCAAATTGAAACTGGAGAAAATAAATCAACACACACATATCAGTGATTGGATTACCATTTATATATCCTTTCCTCCGCCGTAAAATCGAAGGATTTCGCCACCTCCGGCGAAGTAAACACACCACTATCGCCCATTCCAGCAACTGAAAATTCACAGTAAGGATCAATATTTTCAGAAAAAAATACACGCAACAATTGTTTCGAAATGAACAAATTGTTGGTGGATTACCAGTGGAGAAGTGGCTGGTTCTGAAACGGATGAAGTGAGGGCGGGAGAGAGAGAGGCGACGACGTCGTTTGGTGGAGAAAAGTAGAGGATTGAGCCTGCTGTAGACGGAGCAAGAAGAAGATAAGAGGGAGGGGTTGGAGAACGCCATTTTTTCCCCCTCTGCGAAAAAAAACACACTTCACAATTTGCAATGCTGCGGATTTTAACCAAGTTCAAATGTCGAAGAAACGCGGTTCTGAAGTGCGACTTTATTCAGGCTCAAAATGGGGATGGGGAAAATAACTGTTTATTTATTTATTTATTATTTCTTGTTGAAAACTAGAATAACTGCTTATTCGAACCTACACACCATTCCATAAACATGTACTGACCCGGACTCGACCCGACCCAGATCCGCCCCGTTGACCAAGCACCCGGAATCGGACCTTAGCTTGTATGGTTCGGTTTCGGTTCTTGTATTTGAGGACTCGAGACCCGACGGGTCGACCCGAGGACCCTGACTCGAGGAACCGAACCGAGGACCCGTCCACCCGATTTTTTTCTTTTTTTTTTAATTTTGAATATGTAATGGCTATAAACCGGACCCAAACTGAACCCTCTCCGGACGCGGAACCGAACCAGACCCGATTTGACAGAATTCAACTTTTTCAACAAAAAAAAATCAACGGTCAAGATCATCTGACCATTTGAGATGGAGGGCTAGGATGGGTCGACCGTTAGACCTGGCCGGATGAATTTCAATTTGTTTCTCTTTTTTATTTGTTTTTCACCTATAAATACCACCCCTCCTCTCTGTTTTCTCACCAATTCACTCACATTTCTCTCTACTCTCTCAATTCTCAAATTTCAAGTGTTTTCTATTCTCGGTTAATTTTGCAAGCATTATCGATTTTCTTTCCGGTTTTCAATTTTCGATTTTTTTTCTCCATACCGGATACGTAGGCAACTTAGTTTTAAATTCAAAATTTTTATAATTTCGAATTTAAAACTAAGGTCAAGTGCTCTAAATTTAGCTGCTTCTTTTTTTTTCCCCTTTTTTTTGATATGTGTAAAAATAATAAATAAATAAATAAAAATATTGAAAAACCGGTTTGGACTCGAACCCGGACCACGACCCGCCTCCCCACATGTCGGTTTCGGGTCCGTAAAAGTTGGACCCGGACCCAGACCCCGCGGGTTCGACCGTGGTCGTGTCTACTATCTAGTATTCATTTTAATTTTACAAACATTCAGATTTGTGGCGTAAAATTACATGGTAAATCTTACTGGACATAGGATTTGAAAGTAAAAAATAACGGACAATTAATTGTGTTTATTCGTTTCTTACTACACATTCACTGAAAATTGTAATTCTTGTTCCTCTCACTCTCTGGGCGATCTATAATATAACAAAATAGAATCTGATTCAATTTTTCATCTAAGTAGATTATATTAATTTCATAGTGAATCATGTTAATTTTATAGGGCATAACGTTATTTTCTTAGTGGGTTATGTTGATTTCGTAATGCATTACATAATTTTATAGTGAATTTTAATAAATTTGTGGTGGATTTCAATTTGGTAAACTTGCACAAAACACATACACACACTAAAAAAAAAGTTTTTTTTTTTTAAAAAATCGAAATTAAAAAAGAAAAAAAAAAGAAACTTTTTAATGCAATAATTAAAAATCTCATTTCTCATTCTCAAAATATGTTATATGTAATTACTATAATCAACAAGATAACAATAATCCATCACTAGTCTATAAAATTCGCAGCAGCGTAGGCATTTGTTCTTCGAAGAACAAATTAAGCAGAGAGCAACCGAAAAGAAGAAGAATAAGAATGACTTATCCCCCTTGCGCTCCATGCGGTAGTCGTGATCGATCCAAGTACAAAAATATATGGCCCGAACTAGTTGGTATGGGTGTCGAAGAAGCTAAGCGTATTATTGTTAAAGACAATCCCCTCGTAACCGTTGTTGTCGTCATCGGGTGCGGAGCGGTAGTTAATATCTTATGTTGCAATCGAGTTTGTCTTTTCCTCGATAAAAACTATCGGGTTTATACCGTGCCAATAGTTGGATAGAAGAAGACACAATTGCAGAAGATCATGAATAAATAAAACTAAATAGATATATAAATAAATTAATAAATAAATAAAGCCTCATAAGGTTAATTTTCAATGTATATATTTATTAAACTGGTACAATAAGAGGGTGATGTATTGTATAATAATGTACTAGCGCTACTCAAAGATTTTTGTCAATGCAATTTTTTAATTGTTACTTTTGCTTTAATATGACACTTTGTTGGTGTATAATAATTTGGAAAATTAAGAAAAAATCTCAATTAAAAACTCTTATACCCAAAAAGAGAAAATCTCATGAAATATTCTTCTATCTAAAAAGTCCCAAAAATAAGATATTAGTAATACATTATTCAATTAGTCAATTTTTAATTCTATTGAAATATTTTGCTTTATGGATTAGATTACCCGTTTTTTTTTTTTGTGTGTATTTTTTTTCTTTTTTTATAGGAGTAGTTGATTAGATTATCCTTCAATATATAATAAACCATCTCTCAATTTCATACTAATTGCCTCTTTGGAGGAAAGATATTTTATATTTATGTTGTATTATATATGAGTTTATAAAAAAATAAAGATTGGTTAATCTTAGTAATTTACATTTATAGAGAATGAGAATAATATTTAATCTTGTTATAATAATTTTTAGCTTAATCCCACTTTGCACTCTTAAAATATAGCTCTTTAGCACTCTGCAATATCAAAAAAAATTAACAACACTTTGCACCCTTAAAACACAATAAATCATTCACAGTGCCCTCAGAATAAGGGTGGCAATTTGGATCCGGTTCCATGGATCCGATTAGATCCGGTTCGGTCCATAAGGATCCAGTTTAGATTAAGTCTAGTTGAAACAAACCGGATCGGATCAAGTTGATTTTTTTTTTTAAACTGGATCCATGTGGATCCACTTATATCCATTGAAAGTTTAACCACAAAATAAAGTGGGTCATATTGGATCCAACCAAAACCCAATTAAAAACCAAAACAATTTTCTCACAAAAAAAAAAAGTCAAATAGTATTTTAATTAAAAGTTTAATTGATAAAAAATATATATATATATATATATATATATATATATATATATAGAAACAGATAGTGTGTATGTGCATGTAAGTGTGTGTGTGCGTGTGTGTAAAAAAGTGTGTATGTGTACGTGTATGTGTGTGTGTGAATATGTGTAATTGTGAAACTTGAGATATTAAACCACATAAGTTGAGATATTAAACCCTAAAAGTTGAGATATTCAACCTCATAAGTTGAATTAAAGATGCAATGAATCCATGTGGATCCAATCCGGATCGGTCTAAACTCGATCCACATTAAATCCATTCATGTAGGTTGATATTGGATCCGATTCCTTTTAAATCTGATCCACATGGATCCGGATCCGTCCATCCAAGTTGAGAAATTGCCACCCCTACCTCAGAATGATTTTTTAAGCAAATGAAAATAATTTAATATATTAATGCTATTCTTTTACGATGCCAAATGTGTTTATTTTACAATGCACTCACAACAATTCTACAATGCACTCAGAACGATTTCTTAATGCTTATTTGTGGATATATTGACAAATAAAAGAAATAATTCATCCTTAATAAAGCACGTAAAATATACTTCCTCCCTTCGAATAATCTCTTTGATCCATTCGTTTTACAGACCAAAAATCGAGAACGAATAGAAAGTATGCATGAGAACCTTATTTCCTGCAAAAGTTTTTTTTGCTAGAATTGCTAGCAGCAGTAGACTTGTCTATATCCTCGTAACATGAACGAAACACCATACAAGGTGTAAAAAGAATAATAACTTTTTTTTTATCGTAAAAATATCATAATCAAAACGATCGATTTGCCGTCGTCTCTAACTTGACCTGTAACATGCCCTTTTCGCTGCACGAACAATGTCTTCCACCTGACAAAAGTAAATCCCAAATGTTGTAATATACTTTCAATAGATTGTACGGTTCGAAGCATGTCTTTAATTTTATAGCCTTTCTATTTGAGGGCGACATTTTTTTATTTTCGTTAAAATTGCACGAGAAAATGTGTAGAATAAATTAAAATACTATTGGTATTAAATTAAAAGAAAATTAAATAAATAGTTAATTCAAGAAAAAAAAACCTGAGGAACAGCCATTCTCTCGAGATTTGCAGCATAAGGCATAGGAACATCGGCACCGGAAATCCTCTCGACGGGTGCATCAAGATATTCAAAGCTATCTTCGACCACAGTAGCGCTGCATTAAAAAATATATCATTAATAAATAAATAAAATAAAAATAATTATATTAAGTATAAAGGCGACGAAGAGAGAGAGAAGATGATGACCAAATCTCGGCACCAACACCATGTTGAGGGAATCCTTCTTCTAGAGTAACGAGCCTGTTCGTTTTTCTAACAGATGTGTTTATTGTAGATCTGTCGAGAGGGCGAATCGAGCGAAGATTTATGACCTGCATAAATAATTAGCAAAATAATAAAATTAAGATTCTCATAAGTAATTCTTTTCTTTTTTTTCAAACTATAAATGAAATGTGAAGACATAGGCGAATTTTCGTTCAGTTACCTCAGCACTAATTCCTTCTTTTGCTAGAATCTCGGCAGCCTATAGATAATCAATTGAGTAAAGTCAATCGACAAGATATTGTAAGTTTAAGTTTGATAAGAAAAAAAGATAAAATTAAATTAACCATAAACAAGTGAAAGCAATAACGGAACTCTGGAAAATGTAAAACGCTCCGTTTCCGCAGAAAAATATAAACGAGTTAATATGTAATACCAGTGCATTAGATATACTTTAGGCTATTTTTTTTATCAGAGATAAGTTTAGTACGGTCGTAGTGTTTTTTACAATATTTAAATATTTAACAAAATTAACCTACATAATTACTAATAAGGGGAAATTACGACCACCCCTGAGGTAAGGTCAAATTACGAAAAAAACACATCTTGTTTGGGTAATTACAACCACCCCTCAAATTTAGTGGAATCTTCTAGATTATGTGGAATATTCTCTAGTACTGAAGATGAATATTTTTATTTCATTTAATTCACAGATAAACAACCAACCTGAAGAGCATAGCCAACCATCTTCGAGAAAGCAGTGATTGTGACATCTTTTCCTTCACGTTCAATCTGTCAAAATATATTGTTGGCAATAATTATTTAATATTTAAGACGCAAAGAAAAATACGTGTCATATTTAATTATATATATATATATATATATATATATACCTTAGCTTTCCCAATAGGAAGACAGAAGCTGGAATCGAGAACTTCAGCAGAGACAGGAAATGATTCACCGTATCTGTACAAGAAGAGTTATAGACACGTAAATAAGATCAATATAAAATCAAATATATATTGCGATTGACACGAAAATCGTGAGAGTAAGTAATAAATAATAATAATAATACTTACAGCAATTCGTTTTCGAGGAAAACAACAGGATCGGGGTCCCTAATAGCAGCTTTAAGCAGGCCACGAGCATCTTCCGAAGAATATGGAGCCAGTACCTTTAGTCCTGGACACGATGCATACCATGCTGCATAGCACTGCAATAAAATAAATATATAAACTTTGTTAAAAAAATACGAGATTTAATGGTGTAACCAAACATGGTGTACGAAAAAAAAACAACTCGTTTATTAGTTCGTTTGCCATGAGGAATTACAAGACTAAGACATTTACATAGGTATTTAAATGGAGGGACTTCTTTTCTAACAGCACATCATTCGGCAAGACCACAACAGATGTGGAACAACTTTTCGTACCTGGGATTTTATTTTATTTTATTTATTAAAAAAATAATTTAAAAAAACTTTCGTACCTGAGAGTGTTGAGCACCGACACCAGCAGCAGCACCATTTGGACCTCGGAAAACAATCGGCACCGATATCTGACCAGCAGACATGTAATTCGATTTCGCAGCAGAGTTAATTATGTGATCGATGGCCTGCAATTAAAATATATAAGTTAGTTTTTTCCGCAAGTATGTTTTATAAATATCTTCAAGTTCAGGAACATTACAAAAGTGTAAACCGAACAGAAAAAAGAAAAATCTCCCAAAATTAAGAAAAAAGTAATTACAACTTCTACTTTGTAAATATGGAAATATCACCATACTGAATTCTTCCGTTTCTTTTGATGCATACAAGGGAAGCACTTAAACTGGTCTCGAGTTCTTCACCTTCTCATAACCTAGTTGAAAACGGCACTTAAACTTGTCTAAATTATTTCTCGACATTGCATTTTTAAGTGATTTTCCACTACCGTTTTATTAAAATTTTGCAAGCTATGGACATGATTCATTATTAAGAAGTAACATAATAAAACAAAAATAACAGAATAAATTGCTTTCATGGCTTCGGGAAATAACATAATAAAACAAAAATAACATAATAAATTATTAAGATGGCTTCGGGAAAAGTGAACGCACTACATAAAAGAAAAGATAACAAAAAAAAATTGCATTAGGGCAAAAGAAATCAAACCTGCATCGAGAAGTTAAAAGTCATAAACTCTATTACAGGCCTTAGACCGTAATACGCTGCACCAACTCCAATTCCAGCAAATCCAGCCTACGAAACACCATTACAAGATCGAGCATTAAACTTTTTTAACCACTCATTTTTTTTTTTTAAAAGACAAAGGTAACGACAAAAAACCAACCTCGGTAATAGGTGTATCGATAACCCTCTCAGGACCATATTTATCCAGAAGACCTTTGGTAATCTAATACAAAAAATTTTAGAAACGAGTACTTAATACACGGATTTCAATTACACCATTTGGGTGAGGATTAAAATTTAAAATAAAACTCACCTTATATGCACCTTGATACTCACCGACCTGCATAACAGTACTAAACAAGTTAGACGATATATTCCATTTCATAAAAACCCGATTTCAAAACGTAAAAAAACGTACCTCTTCACCCATTACAAAAACTTTAGGATCAGCAGACATTTCTTCATCGAGAGCCGAATTTAAAGCATCGCGCACAGTCATCTGCAACAAATTACGATAGAAACATTTTTTCAAGAATCTACTATTTCATACAGGAAAACTCATTCTACATAATTCTTCCATCACTAAACCGAAACTACGACGATAACTCGAGAAACGAAGCACATAGACAATAAGATTTCTTGCAACATTGTAATTTTATAAACACTAAAAGATGCATTACTAAAACCCGGAAATTATATTCAGCCATACGAAACATCGTTGCTTCGATAAACACACGAATTTCGAATAAACGGAGACATTCATTACCTGCTTGGCAGAGGAAGAAAACGCCCTCAACGTTCGAATTCCTTGCTCCAAACTCTTTAAAACCCAAACAAATTAAATTAATAAAAAAAGGTTTACATACTCAAATTAAGGTCAAAAATCAACAAGAATTACAAACCAAAAAAAAATTAAATAAAAATCGGCACATTACCGAAGCATGACTGACTTTGGAGGCAGCCCTTTGCCTTATAATCCCCAACATTTTATTTCCTTTCTCTCTCTAAAACAAAAATCCCTGATTTAACATTAAATCACAAGAACAACAGATCATAAATAGATACATCAAACGCACGCAAAATCAAATATCCAGTTTCAGATAGATCTTACACCAAACCAAAAAAAAAAGCCCATCTTTAATACAGAATTAATTGAAACAAACCTACCCACACAGTTAATATACGTATACGTACCAGGAGAAAAACTATAATAAAAAAAACCCAATAAAAATGGGGAAAATATGTATCGGAAAATGTACCGGTGGGCTGGCTCGTTTTCCTCTGGTGAAATTGCTGGAGAGATTGCGATGCGAAGAGAGATATTATTCTATAGTATTTTCTCTCTCTCTCTCTATATATATATTGTCTGTTTCTTTGATTTAGTGAATACTGATGATAAACAGAGAAAAATTGAGTGTATATATATATGGGTTGTCCCGATTGGCGGCCGGGTCAGCTGAGAATTCCTTGAGCGTTTGTTTGATTTGTAAAATGTTGGTAGCACTGTAGGGAAATAAATGTAGAGAACCGTAGAGGGATTAGGTAAGCGGCATAGAAATTATTTTTTTTTTCTTTTTTTTTCTATTTTATTTGTAAAAATATATATGTTATTTGTTATTAATACTATTTTCTAATAAAGGTGACCTTTTTATTGTATTTTTTGTTCTGCTACTACTTTTGGCCCTTCTTAGATGGGAAGGGTTGCTCTTCTCTGGGCAAAGAACATTTCGTCCCACCTAAAATATATTAAATTGAAATGTTAAAACATTATTTATTTCAAAAAAATGTATAAAGTCAAGCCCGGCTAAACCCGCCGAAGCTCAAATAAATGATGGAGGAATTCAGATAATTCAAGAGACTGTTCGATCGGGAATTATGAATTGTATACCTTTGATTGTGTGCTCTAAGTATTTATGTGGAGAATTATATTCTCACGGGCTTAATTAAGCCTCTTAACATAGGGCAACTTGGACGTGTTTGTATTATTACCATGAGTCAACTTGGGTTTTGTTTGTGTGCCTCTATGGACTTGTTGATATAGGCATTTGGGCGTGGGCCTATCATAAACCCTACACTCTGGATCGTGGCTCGAGTAGCGAGAATTGCTGGAGAGTACTTAACGTGTGTAGTGTTTGGGAATTTTGTGATTTGGTTAGTTGATTGGACGGTTCGTGGTGGAAGCAACTTGGCGACTTTATAATGCCATTGATAAATTGGCAGCTCGTGAGACGGTGAATCGCTCAACGATCAGTAGAAATGGCGGTTGCATGCCAGTGACAAGTAGTTAACTTGTGAGTTAGCGGGTGGCTGAACGATTAACAAAAATGATGGTTGACAGATTTCCTTGTCATTGGAAAGTAGGCAGCTCAACGATATTTGTAGAAATGGTGGTTGACGTCTCGTATTACGATATCGTTAGTAAGTAGATAACTTATGAAGTCGTGGGCGGTTCAACGATTAGTAGAAATGAGAGTTGACGATTTGAGCTGTCATTAGCAAGCATGCAGCTCATGAGAGCGTCGACGACCCTAAGATTAGTAAAAAATGGCGATTGATGGATGGCAAGCTTGTGAGACCCTGAGCGGCTCAATGATTAATCAAATGGCAATTGACGGTTTGCCAACTCGTGAAACTGTGAGCGGCTCAATGATTAGTGCCAATAGATGGCTCTTGCCAGGTCATGAGACCATGATCAGCTCAACAATTGGTGTTAGACGATTCGCCACTTCATTTTCAAGCTCCTAGTGAAGGAAATCGAAGTCTCAAAACCTCCTTCGTCATCGTCTAAATGAAGAAGACGAACAGCATGTTCCGCTAAGTCGGATGAATGAGAAGACATGGTGTTCAAAAAAGAACACTTGCAAAGAAAATAAAAGAAAAGGGGAAGGGGAGATTCAAGGTGGAAAAATATCTGGAATAAGCAGTTGGAAAAAATACTAAAATGAAGAGGAATCTTCACAAAAGTTCACCGGAGAAGAACACGGGTGTCGGGATCATGAAAAAAATTGAAGATGTTGCCTTGAGTGCAGAAGGATAGAAGCTTCACCTGAAAAGTAAAATAGCTGTCGGAAGAGAAAAATGAGAGAAAATGAAAGATAGAGCGTAAAGGAAAAAACAATGGAATGAAATGTGGAAATAAATATTTATTGTGCGGAATTCGAAGAGATGGGAGATCTCATTCGCTCAAATGAACGGCCTTGATTAAGTTAATGCTTAGGTTCTCGTGAAAAGATCTCCAACACGCCTCCATAATGAATGATTCCATATACGAATATAAGCCCATGCGTTTGTGCCTCTGACCTACGGATTTTAGACATGTGGCTAGAAGGAAGAATAGACGGGATTTTTACTCAATATTTGGAATTCAAATTTTAGAGTAGGGGGAGTAGTTGGTATGGATCATATCGCCCATATGGGCTTTGCCCGTACAAGTAAAATGAATCGCAAATAAGGCCCATAAATGGTGGCCGAAAATTAGAAGCACTGTCCTGTTAAAAGAGCATACGAAATCCTAGCAAAAAGGAAAAAATATCGTTCGCACCTTACGTTGTACGGCGACACGAGGTAAGAACATAAGGGTTGTGATGTTATTTTGGGTCGGCTTTTTAAGCGATGTGAAGTTTATTTATCCTAAAAACCCATTAAATGCAGCAGGCTCAAATAAAAAGGTAATTAAGTCAAAAATCTTAATGAATCTTGCATCTCAAGGCGCAAAATATCTATAAAAATGGGTTTCACTCAAACTTTTACTTTCTAATTTTTTTTTTTTTATTGTAATTCACAATATACACACAAATATAAATTCTAACTTCATGGTCGGAGTTTCTACTGGAAAATCCCTTCCTGTGTTGCAGGACCGACGACCGACCGAGATACCGGTGGAATTAGAGGCTGGCCCTAGGAGAACCAGGTTGATGTTAGGCTTATGACACAAGCGCAGTGAACTGAACACGATCACACATTCTCCTCGCATTTTGGAAATGATTCCATTCTTCATTCTGAACCTATGGCCTTACAAGACAAGCTCTCTAATATTCCCCGAATCAACAAAACAAGTTTTACCAAGACCCTCAGGATATTGTATTAGCTTTTTCTATTAGGCATTTTCTTTATCTACATAAAATGGGTCTTTGTAAATATCGTCGATAGTGAGGGGTACTTTTTCTTTGTTAGGCCACACAATTTTTCAAAGAGGCCCCTTTGCATTTTCCTTCATTACTATCAATTTTGAACAAAAAAGAAAAAAACACCTGTGGAGGGCCTACCACAACAAAGTACTTTTCAAACATTAACCTAATTAAAAAAAATATGAGGTAGAAAATTAAACATCATTTAAATTTATGTAAACTCCAGCCAGATTAGAAACAACAATTAATTTGTACACAAAGCTAGCAATAGTGCAGCTATCTAGTTTGTAGTAAGAAGAAATTAACACTTAATGATTGGAGTTCGATCTTTTTCACCAACATTTTCTAGATCGAACTTATTGCACCTAATTTGTTCAGTGTGATCGAATGTACGTACATAAACATTAAACACTACTTTCGTCGGTGAATATAAGCACCAAATTATAAACAAAACATTAGAATATGATGCAAATTAAAATTTTAGTTTGTTGAAACACTACAAATGTTGTCACTACAATTGGACAACCTATATATTCCACACACACTTGTATTACATGACTACTCAATTGAAAAATAAAACTAGAAAACCCAAAGCCAAAAAAAACATATGGGATTTTCTAATTTCTTTAATATATATATGTCCTTCATACATTTTTTATAATCCTTTAAGCTTAGTAGATCAATTCAAGCATTTGGTTTTCCGGTGAGAAGATGGGCGTGGTGGTCGTGGGCGGCAGAAGGTGGTGGAGTGTAACATGTGGCGGCGTTGAATAGATTCTTCACGGCGGCTTGTCCTCCCTTTGGCAACACCCTTCTTCGAAAACTCTTCTTCTTTTTCCCTCTCTTCACTTTCTTATTCTCGGAAGACTCCTGCATATATATGCACGTTAAAAAAATTAAGGCATGTAACTAGTAATTTCTCCCGTATGATGCATAAAAAATATATATCACATAACTATAATGTTGATATTTAAGTTCATTTTGGATATGTTATCGCACTTTTGTATTGCGTAAAACATGTATATATAGCATGTGCATGACTACTCGAATGCCGAGTGATGTTTGAAATATAGTAAATGGTAAATGTCTTGTATTTCAGTTTTTGCCGATATTCGCCCCGCTGCTAACACCATGTACAACGCGATAAAAGATGTAATAAATCGAAACATATATATACAAATCGATGTCCATAAAGAAACAAAATAAATCAATAGTGAATTACAATACAAAATCAAAACTAAAAAAACCAATTCCCAAAATGACATTTTATCTTACAATGAATTTCCATGTTACAAGACTACAATTACACCATAAATATAATTTACCTTTGATAATACGGTGTCGTCTTTGGGGATTGTATCTTTCAAGGCATTCTTCTTACCTGCAACCAAATTAAAAATAAAAAATTAATAAAAAAAATAAAAATAAATAACATAACTATAACAACACAATATTTTCAATCTTAAATTAAAAAAAAAATGATAACAATATGAAAAATAATTTAATAATTAATTTCTCACCTATATCAATCTTTTTATCTCCTCCATCTTCCTTAATATACCCCCGAAAGCTCGGGGAGCCCGGAAAGTCACCACGGCCAATCCTTCTCTCGTCGTCCTCGTCATCATCCTCGTCATCATCATCATCATTATCATCATCCGTATCCGTTAACATATCCTCATCATCTTTACCCTTAACACCGTGAGTAATCGCAACATTGCCCTTCTTCTTCTTGTCATTTTCATCATCATCGTCGTTAACGTTTTTGTGCTTATCAGAACTAATTGCCGCCGCCTCTTCTTTTCCCTTGCTGTGAATTACGTGATGGTGGGAGTGAGGGTGAGATACGCTTTTTGACGTATTGGAGGAAGAAGGCGCGCTTTTGTGTTCGTCCTCTAATTCGTGAGGGTCGTGCAAAAGCAACTCTTTCTTGGAAGGGGTGGAGGCGGTGTCCTTGAGGGGCGGGTACTGGCCAGCGTGGCGGCGCATCTTAATCTCCTCTAGCCGGTGGACGAATATCGGGCGGAGCTTCGCCGGCAACACCAGCCCGTTCCCGTCGAACGGACGTGAAACACCGCACCCCATATTATACTGGCTAGTTATTTGCGTACGTAGACGGAGTTAACAACGATTCATGCGCGAATGGAAGAAAATTAAAAATTAAAAAAAAAAAAAGAAAAAAAAAAAAAAAAGAAATGCTTAGTAAATGGGGATGATATTGTATAGTGATTAAAGAATCAAGGGTTTCTAGGGTTCAAATTATTTAATGTTTGTTTTTGTTTGGATTTTGTTTGAGGGTCAAAAAGAAAATACATTCATTTACACACCAATATTAACTAACATGAATAAATGGCAATGCATAAAATGAAGGTTATTTGACATGGTTTTGTTGGGAGTTTTACATGCAAAGAAACCATTTTTTTTTGGTCAAACTGTTGACTTTTTTTTGTTTTCTTAAGGAATATGCTGTTTTTCAGGGGGTTTGAAGAGCTGAAGATTTTTTGGAAATTTAGTGGTAATTAAATTATATTTGAACTTAGCCATGTAATTAAATGGCCTAGAAGGCCTTTATTTTCTCAACAATGGATGGTCACAAAAAATTAAATAATTTTGTGGACTTGTTCACAAGATCGTATCATATGATTAATCGGCAGGTAATTAGCTCAACCAATGAAATAGATACATCAGAAAATTGCAAAATTAGTCCTCTAAATTTAGGGGATGTCATAAATTTAGTCGTTTGTGTTACGACTTCTAAAATCGTATTTTGTTCCTATTTTTGGAGTAATTAGAATATTTGATCCCGATCCCGAAAAAAATTGCCATTTTTATGACTAACACTTATTGCCTACTTCAACTCTAAATTGTTTAGGAAATAATGTACTTTCTAGAAGAATACATATACATGTACAATGTATTATAGGGTAAATGAATAGGCAGATACATGAATAATTAGATACATGATTATCTACTATTAATCATGAATCTTATTTAACATAATATATAAGGGAAATCAACATTTTGAGTTCCACTTTCCAATCGATTAGGGTTTGTCGGCTTTTCTCTCATCTTAATTGCGTAATTGTGTTAATCGACTTGATACCCATGTTTCTTCGATTCTCATAGCAATTAGCTTTTCGATAACTTTTTGCATTATATTTTGAAGATGGAGGAAATAAATAAAAGACCTGAGATCGGGAAAAAAAGGGGGAAATTTTATGATGTGATGATAATGGTGGAAATTGAATACAAATAATTGGGTATTTGTCGAATGTGGACGTAATTGACCGAAATGGGGGAAATTGAATTGAAAATTAAAAGTGATGAAATAACTCAAATCAAATATTTACTTGCATGAATATCATTTATGAAATATTTTTTTTCACCATTAGGAATTAAGATTAGTGATCATCAGAATGTGGAGAAGAAGAAGATGAAGCAGAAGAAGAATCTGTATCACTCATATTTAAATCAATATTTCTATGCTTATAGTAATCACTGTCATAATCTTCGGATGCTGCTACGCTATTTCGTCGTCTTTTCTTTAAAAATATACGGCACAACGTCCAATTCCCGATTCGAGCTAGAGTACCGGCCTGCAAATTGATCATACAATGTTATTATGGCTCCAAAACACATGTAACAAATTTTGTAAAATAAAATAATATTGTCGAGTAAGGGAATTAATTCTCCGAAGAAAAAATGTACTATGAATTGTGCGTGCATGTATATATCGATCAAGAATATAGTATGCGATCATATCCAACACGTGTTATAAACGAGCATGCTCCGTAAAATATATTACCTTATATTAAGACATGGGAAATAATTAATTAATTAAGAAGTTACCTGAAGAGAATTATTTTTGTGCTGGATGCTATAGTTTTCTGAAACGGCAATGAAGTACTCGTGCATAGTCCAATTAGTTCTAAAAGCGCGATTACTATTCTTTTTCGTCTTGTAGAAAACAAGTGATTTTCTGATCCCGATTATCGGCATCGCCTTTTTCGAACAATTTATTCGTTTGGCTGATCCAGTGGCTTTCCAATATCCAGTACAAGTGGCTTTGCTAGATTGGACCGTATTACCCTTTCGATTATTGCCTTCTTTGTTGCTAAAGAAATACCTCTCCTCATCCGAATTACCTATACGGATATATACACGATTACAAACGATGCATGATTTAATTACGTACTAGTTTTTTTTTAATGGGATTTAATTAAGGATATAGCAATTTAAAGAATGTGATTACTAATGTAATTAATTACCTACCTGGAAATTCAAAAGGATTCAAGGTGAAAATGTTGATTTCTGGAATAAGTATGTGTGCAGGCAAAGGATGGGAAAATGTTTTACGTGCCAAATATTGGAATACGATCTCTTCGTCGGTCGGCTGGAATCGAAATCCAGGTGGTAATTTTCTCCCTCCTTCTCCAACAAACTTCATCATGTCCATTAGAGAGAGAGAGAGAGAGAGAGAGAGAGAGAGAGAGAGAGAGAGAGAGAGAGAGAGAGAGAGAGAGAGAGAGAGAGAGAGAGAGAGAGAGAGAGAGAGAGAGAGAGAGAGAGAGAGAGAGAGAGAGAGTTAAACTTGCTTGCATGGAAGGTTCATTTTGGAGCATTTTATACATAGAGATGGAATGAGTGGTGAGATATTCTATAATTCTATATTCTACTTGGTAATTCATATTCTTATTATACTATGTTCAAAATATTAATTAATTTAATTGCATGTATGTATAATTTGCTTTTGTAATAAGATATATCTAATTATGGATTTGTGACATCTAAAGTTGACTGATCCAACACACACCTCTCACTCATATAAAGAGTGAAATCTGGTGCCTCCTTTCCTTGAAAATATATAATTGGGGTTAAAAAGCAAATAAAGGAAAATTAGTGAAAAAGTTTTGTACTTTAGGGAAAAGTAAATGATTGAAAAGATGAGGAGGAATTGGGTTCAAAATGGGATTGGATATGTTCTTTCCTTCATGGAGAAGAAGTTGCTTTGCTTCCTTTTTTCCAATATATATATATATATATATATATATATATATATATATATATATATATATATATATATATATCTCTGCAAAAAAATCATTATTTGCCCTCAATTAATTAATGCTATTATACAAATATATTATGCGATTTTTACGATGAAATATTCATCCCTAAAAAATTAAAAATAATAAATTAAATGTTCCCTTTTTCATTTAATATTAATTATTTACGTTTTAGGGCATTTCGGTCTTTGTACACTTTATCATGGGAGTGGGGTACTTATTATCTATTTTCTTAACACTCTCTTACATATAAAATTTGGAAAATCTAACAAATGCTTAACGTCTAAGTTAAAAAACACAAACAATATTGGACTTTAATTATATGCTGATCTTCATGCATTAATTAAATAGTTCAAAAGACCTATTGATTACATAAGCATCAATTCATTTGTATTTTTGATGTATAAATTAAAACCAAGTGATGATGTAGTTGTACATTGTAAATGTATTTCATATGTAGATTGAACAGAATTTCAGTCCGTTTTCGTTCGGGTTGTTCACCCTTTGCACCATATATGAACCGGATAGCTATGTTGCACGGGCACGGATATGAACACGGTGATACGTCATTTCCAAAAAATAGGATACGAACTCGTGGGGATACGCGTAAATATAAAAAATATAGGAGTATATTTATAAAAATATAGGGGTACGTTTATAAATTGTAAGAAATATGTATAAGTCGTCATCGCATAAGAGAACCGCTCGGCCTCTTTGCTCGTGTTCTTGGTCCTCGTCGCTGCTAGACTTTTGGAGTTTTGGGTGGACTCACAAAGAAAATAGAGGAAATGTCGTAAGCGAAGTGTGCCAACTTTTTAAAAATTGTGAACACTTCCCGACGAGTGTCTTAATTTTAGCGAAATTACGACACGGCCAGACACGGATGTTCGAGACGTGTCCGGGCATGTCCGAGTGTCCAGGTGTCGGATACGGGGACTCTTCACCTTCTAGAAGTGTCCGTGCAGCATAGCCGAATAGTTCATTTTTTCAAAAATAAAAAATCGTAACAATGGTTCCATTCGGAACGATTCTAGATGGTTCGATATAAGAGTAAAAATGAGTTGAACCGGCTCGATAAAAACTCGAGCTTATGATCTTGATCTTATTTTTCTTTGTTCAAAATCTCATGAGCTGGATCGTTAGCTTTTTTAAATTCATTATTATATAATTCACAATAAAATCATAAAAATAATAGTTAAGTTTAAAAAATTAACTTGTCTGTATATTTAAAAAGTTACCTTATTTTAAATAAAAATACTCTGAATTAATAATACTTACTATTTTTTTATTATAAATATTTAATAAATTGCTAATATTATTATTTTAAAATTTGAAAAATAAAAATTACGTAGCTGTTCAAAGTTCGTGAGCCTTGATGGTGTATTTGAGCTTAACCCATAAGGCAATGTTTAGATCCGTTATCGGTTCATTTTATTTTTGGGGAAATATATTTTGAGGGAATTATTTGAAAATAAAGGTAATGTTTGTTTATAGTGTTAGAGGAGATAAGATTCACTATAACAGTCAAATCGTGCTTAAAAGTGTTTGGAAAATGTATTTTAGAATAAGAATTTGAAAATATTGATTTGTGTTTTAATGAATATTTATTACTCAAAAACTTTTTATTTCAGTAGTTAAATCATTTATGGGGGAGGCATAAAGTTTTGAAATTGTTATGAGAAATTTTATTGAAAAGCTAAAAAAACAAAAATTCAATTTCGAGGAGAGAATAAACACGAGATGAAAATGCAACCTAACATTGCCTAAAATTTTCAGCTCGAGCTCGACACATTTACACTTCTACAACGACCGATTTCTTTTTGTTTTTTTCGATTTTTTGATTGTTTGATTTTTATTTTTCTCACCCCTAAGGACTCCGTCGTCCGGTATTTATGAAGTGGTTTGCAATAATCTTTAGAAATATAATTTCGAGGTCGTTCTATTTAGATAGATGGGCCTAATAATTATCGGCCCATATTAAAAAAAAGAAAAAAAAAAAGAGTTATTTCTAGTCCAATTTTTTTGGTTATATTCCTCATCTATTCTCTCTGCTACTTAAAAGAGGGTTTTTTTTTAGCTAGGGTTTTTCTTCTGAAAGTTCTTAATCTCGCAACAAATTCTCTCATCTTCATTCAATGGATGCTTCTTCGCTTAGCTCCCCTGAACTTCAGGATTTCATCAACGTAAGTAATTCTTACTATTTTTTTTTCATTTATATTTTCGATTTTGTGCTGTAGTTTATGCTTTGTTCATTCTGGATTTGACCTTCTCACTAGTTTACCGATGCAATTTTGTGTTTCATTTTAAGAATCTCTCTCTCTCTCTCTCGATGATTTTGTGTGAAGAAAATCTGATCAAATTTACTAGTATATGCGTTAGGTGGTATTGAAATAATTGTTTATTATTATGAACAATTTTAATTTTCTGAGTGAATTAGTGAGTAAGAAAAGCTTGAAAACAATTTGAAGATGGGAATTATTTTTCTTAGAGATGTTTTCTGCAGTCAATTTATTATTATTATTATTATTTTTTTTGAAAAGAAGGTACTTTTTTCAATTGTTTTTTTAGCTTAGCTGTAGCAATTTGATTTATCTCTTAAAACCCTCTTCAATTTTTGCATTGAAAAAACTGAGAGATTGGGGTGATGGAAACAATGAAGTTTTTGATGTGAGATTTTCGACTCTTGTATTATCTTTTCGTTATAATATAGCTGGTGTAACAATTGAGTCATTCTGCATTTCCAACCATCACTTTTATTCTTCGATTTTGGAATCGTGTTCTTATTTTGTCTAAGATTATTCTCCAACATATATTCAATAATTCGTAAAATCTCACGATCCCCAGTAAAGAAGTTATCGAATCGAATACTCGACTCTACTGCACCAAGAGAATGTAATACATCACTAAAGGACACTGCCCTTTGAAAAATACTTTATTGTCGATATGTTTAGGTCTGCTGGCAAATGTAAAACTGTCAAATGGAAAGGATTGTTGAGGGCTCGATTCTTGACCTCTGTATTTATTTGCACAAGAACATAAGTCAATACCGATATTCTTTGAAAACTTTGGCCAAGTCAAATTTTACATAAATTCAGCCAACACCTTAAAACGGGATCTCTTGCTCCACCAATATATACTTTCGTTGATGTGAACTATATACCGCCGTTTCTAAAAAACCTAGGTATGGAAATTTGTTATTTTTTGCATCGTTTAGTGTGTACCCCTAGAAATTGTTTACTGTATGTGTGAAAATTTACAAGGAAAAGACTGTTGTGCTGTTATAATTAACACCATTTTTCGATCATTTGATCTACTTCTTTGGTGTATTAGGATAAGTTCGTTGGAGTTTATTTTGTTGATTTTCTATAATTATGCCTTTTTTATTTTTTATTTTTTATTTTTGCTAAGGGCGTTGTAGTAGTAACATTTGGTTATGAATGCTCGAATCTTTTTGCAGCAAGAGAAACAAAAAGCAATGGTGAATGAAATGATCGGGAAGCTAACAGCTGCATGCTGGGACAAATGCATAACCGGAACTCCAGGTAGCAAGTTCAGTTCTGGTGAAACGACTTGCCTCACTAACTGCGCACAACGTTACATGGATATGTCTCTTCTCATTATGAAACGTCTGCAGCAGTGAATTAGGCCTTTTTTTTAATTGAAGAAGCTTTTTTTTTTTTTTTTTCTTTCTGAAATTTGGCATGGGAAGTGTACTACTCACTCGTCTATCGACAATGAAATTATATTAGTCATTGTTTTCTGGCATTAGAAGGAAGATTTATGGTGTTTATTTTATGCTACTATCGTGTTCTTCAATTTTTTTAATATCTAAATGATAGTTGTGTTTCCTTCTCTAGAATGTGTGTAAATGCATATGCTCTTGTTAGCCGTATGCTTCGAATTTGGAAATCGGAATAATTAGATTGGAGAAGATAGAAACATTTTAATTTTGTTTTCGGAAGTGAAAATCAATCTTAATTTCGTGTTTGGAAATTTTGGAAATTGATATTCAATTGGTCTCGGAAATTGTGTTACTATAGTATTCTTGATTTTTTTTTAATTCTTAAAAAAAAATAAAAAATACAGGGCATTCCATATATATATTTTTTAAATATTTCATTTACTTTCCCTATTTATATAACCACGTTCATACTTTAAGCAAAATTAATAAACTTACAAAATATGTACATTTGCATATGCAAATACAATTTTGAAATAATGTATTAATATTGATACTGTAAATATACATTAGGAAAAAAAATCAAAAAAGAAATTGGACATTAAAATTGAGTGAAGGGTGAAAAGAACCCCATCGCGGAGGTGAAATAGAACATGAAACCGGTTAAGGGAACCCACTGGAGCCGTAGCGAAAACGAGTCTTCATAGAGCAATTGTCACTGCTTATGGACCCGAATCTAGGTGATCTATTCATGACTAGGATGAAGCATTGATGAAACTAAGCGGATCTATTCATGACTAGGATGAAGCATTGTTGAAACTAAGCGGAGGTCCGAACCAACTGATGTTGAAGAATCAGCGGAATATTACTTAAAATTCCAACCCAATCCAAAATTTGAAGAAAAAAAATGGATATCGAAATTTTGGAAATCGGAATGAAAGTATGCCCTATTTTGGAAATTCGAGTTTGCATTAGGCCTAGTGTGGTGGAGAGTGACAAATTCAAAAGATAAGAAACCAAAAAAACAGAAAACCACAAGCACGCTTTTGCATTATTGAAGAATCACAAAATGGAATATATATCAAATGAACTACATATACACACATTAGCACATATTAATGCCAGCTGTCACTTTCTTCATCACTCTTTTTTTTTCCTTTTCATTTTTCATATTTTTTTCGTCCTATTGCCAATTCGAATTATGATCGTCATTTGCAAGCGTGATTCGACTCGAGCCTATCGTAAGAACTGTGTGACTGTCAATTGTGGGCTCGTCCCAAATCGCCTTCTCTTGATGCTGTTGCTCCACTTTCACATTTCCCATATTTTTTGTACTGAAACGAGCACTCGCTGGGTTGGACTGGGTCGCATTTTTCTTTGGAACTCTTGCACGGAAGTTGTTCTTGGAAGAAGGGATACTTGTGCAGAACACCTCCATGAAATTTCGTATTGTTCCTTTGTTGTATGGATTCGCTCTCCTGCTGTACTGATATCTGAAATTCTCATACGTCGACTGCAATCAAGAACAACTTCTTCATGTTAGAAAAATCCACAACACAAATATATATAGCGCATAATTATAACGAATATGTGACTATAATTAATTATTATTCACTAACCATTGGATTTACTTTCATTTTTATCCAAAAAAAAAAGGATGGGGAACAAGAACATCAACTTCGATAATTTTTTTGTTCAAACGCAAGTTGAAAAATAAGGATGAGTTTATTGCATTCAACACCCTTGTGTTATATCGAATTGTTATAAAAGTTCTCGTGTTATAAATATTACCAAAAACCCCCTATGATGCGTTTTTTAGGAGTACTTCGCTTATAAAATTGAATCATAGGGTTTTTTTTTTTTTGCTAATATTTATAATACGGGGGAGATTTTCAACAATTAGAGTAAACACGTGGGTGTTGAATGCAATTAACCCAAGAAATGATATATATTAGTGGATTCTAGGTTCTTATGAAAACGCAATTTATTCGAGAGTATTTTCAGATATTTCACAAAAATAAATAAATTATTACAATAATGATGATCTAGACTACTTTTAAAACGATTCTTGTTCGAATTTCAAACGTGACAAGGTATTGAGTAATACGAACAGAATCATGTTAAATGAAAGTAAAAAATAAAAAATAAAAATGATGAGAGATAGTAACCTGGTTTGTACTGATGAGGTAGAGATGGAAAACGGAGAGGCCACCGACAAACCAGAGAGCTAGAAAAGTATAGATAATAAGAACAATGGAGGCGGGCGTTTTCGTCATTGCTCTCCATACCGAGATATCCTCACTGTTCATTATCATCTTAATGTACACCCAACAAAACCCATGCACGTATAAGCAGCAAAGTGCCGATGAAAATACGAACATGAAAAAGAATCTGTAGTTTCTCTGCACCACACAAAAAAACAAACACCGTTAAAATGCAACGAAGAATCCCATTGTGAATATTTTTCAATAGTTATAAGCATGTATGTAGAAACAAGGCATCATTAAATACGAACATTCGGGAAGTTCATTGAATTTTTTATTCTCTAAATTAGGAATGGTTGCTCACAATAAAAAGTGTCGCATATTTATCAATATTAGATGTAACATGAGCATTAAGGCCTTGTTTGGGAATTAATCGTACGGACAAGATTACCCCATATAAAAGATTGTATTATCACAATTCCCCAAACACAAGATAATCTTGTATTACACTATCATCGATAATCTAATCAACCAATTCAACCAAAACTTATCAATCCCAATTCCAACTCCAATTTGGAAGTACAAAATCAATTGCGGGATGGATCGGATCGGAATTTCGAAAGAAAATTGGAACTACAAAATTCATTCCAATTCCAAAAGGCCCGGAAATTTTGGAATTTCGAAAATCACATAAGTTATAAATTTCAAAACTTCCGGAAATTTTCTGAAAATTTCATAATTTTCCAAAAATAAGAGCATCAACGCCAATAAAAGTAAAACTAATAACAACTAAATTTCAGTTAAAAAAAAAAATAAAAAATGAATCACATCATAATATCCAACAAAACTTCTAACAAGTAACACCAATTCAATATGTCAAAATCCTAAAACAAAACTTAAATCAAATTATTGTTTCAGAAAAAAAAAAACAACTTAAAATGAGTATTATATAATATATATATTATTTATATGTGTATTTTTTGGAAAAGAATTGGAATTTTTCTGAATTAATTTCGAAATTTAAATCCGATAAAAAATTGGAAATTTCATATATATATTTTTTAATATAATTCCAATTCCAATCCAAGAAAATCGAAAAAATCGGAAATCAGAATATCCAAAGTTGGAATGAAAAAAATTGTTCCAAAATTGGAACTTTTCGGATCGGAACCGGCGGAAATTGGAATTTCTGTTCCAACTTGCACCCCCTAATATTACCAAACAAGGCCTAAGGAAAACCAAAAAACGAAACAATACTTTGCTATAACTGTCAAAGAAATCAGCACCTTTTCTTTTATTCCTCATGTTGCTAACTTTGTTGTAACACGTAAATATTACCCAAATCCACTTCTAGTCGAGCCAATACTTTTCAAGGGAATACTTTTTCATGCAGGATTAGATCTAATAAAATAAAACTATTATCTCAACTAAAAGGCAATAAGAAATACTCACCAGCCCGATACACTGTCCAACCCAGGGGCAATGATGGTCAAAATGTTCGACACAGTTGTCGCATATCGAACAATGTGAACAACGAGGAGGCCTGTAAAGCATACAAGTGTCGCAGTATTTAACTTTCACCGTTATTCCATTTATGACAACATCTTTCGACCGAGCCAAACGAGGCCTTGCCCCATTCCCAAATTCAAGACTATTATCACAACTCTCGGGTTCTGGAGGTTGAGAATTTCGAGGAATAATACCCGGATCCCTTCCGGAAGTCAATAGAAGAAGTACCAACACCTAGAGAAAAAAAGAACGTCGAATTGACAAATGTTAAATTACACTCGCAAATACAAATGTCAATTACTTTATCGGGATTTTCAAGATTCCTTTGCAGTAGTAACATCGAGAGATAAATATACGAGCGCCAAATATCAAGATTGCCATTATCGAATGCTTACCAAAACACATCTTTCCTAAGAAGATTACACCATCCGACATTAATTTCAATTTTTTTTCCCTCGGTTTTTACAATAGTCGGCATTGATCGAACTCTTATTAGAACTCATGGAAATGATATTCATAGGAAAGCGAAAGATGAATAAGAATCGAACAATCGAAAAGGACTTACATAGAGAGTGAAAACAACATATACAGCCATAACTGCAATACCCCAATCACCGGAAAAATCATCCATCAGTTTTCTTGCAACGAAAACGCAGAAAACGGCAGAAGGACCAACTATGAGAAATATTGTCAGAGCGACTGATCTTACATCCGGCCCGAATACGAACCTTCCACCAAGAAAAAATTTCTGCAACGAATCAACATAATAATCAAATTTTCAAATTTTTGTTATAAAATTCGACATCGAATAAATATTTAAAACAATAAATTCCGTTTCAAAAATAAAATTCGCACTTTCGAGAAAAAACCCGACATTATCTCTCTTCAATTGTTAAGTTAGAACTATATTTAACAGAATATTCCTCTCTACTTTGGCCAAATAATGCTTCAATTGCATTCGAAAAACTCGCTTCTCAAATATTAATTTCATCTAAATTGAAAGCTAAATTCGATCATATTACAGAATGATTCAAAAGTCAAGATCACATTCCCAATTTATATCTTCATATTTCAAAATCGAAAAAAAATGATCAAAGAACTTAACTTTATACCCTAATTGGAAAAAAAGAAAAAAAATAATACTAATAAGAGAAACGCATCAAAATTTACATTACTGCCTTGCCAATCCCGATAAGCGCGGACCATCTCAGCCGCACCACCGACGGCGCCATCCTGGGATTCCGGCGGCGCAACTGAATTCATCGCCGTGAAAAAGAATTGACCTTTATCTTTCTGCCACCAACCAAAAAAAGAAAGGGGAAAATGAAACGATGGTTTGGAATAATGAATCGTGTGGGCAAAGTCAGCAGAGAAGAAGAAATGGAGCCGAAAACATTTTGATGCAGTTAATATTAATATTAATATTAGTTGAATATTGTAAGAAGAAGTCGTTTTGGTTACAGTAAGTTTGTAGTTGTACATCGACAGCGTGTAGGGATTGACTTTGACCGAGTGTGTGTATCTGCGGCGGAGATGATTGCGGCGGCGGCGGCGGCGGCGGCGGCTTCAGGGCAGATTATATTATTTTACTAAATAGCTTAAACATCATTAAAAATGGTCTTTTTATATCCATATATTAAAGTCTAACACTAAATAGTGTTTTAAAAACAAGGGTTTTAATAAGGGACTATAAGATATAACAAACCCCAAATTTTTATCACTTCAATACCAAAAAAATAAAATTGAATAATAAATAAGTAATAACATAAATACCCTTAATGAAAATAAATAACATAAAAATATTAAAAATCTTATTTTTCTTTCTTCAATACAAACACATAATAATCCCTAAAACCCATCTTCTTCTTCACAAATCCCTCAACCTCTTCCTTCTTCTTCCTCACAACAAACCCTTCTAAACAATCTCAAAACTAAAGAAATTAAAACCTCACAAAACTTATAAAATGGAGTTATAAGACAATAATATGGTAGTATATATGGAAGGAGAACACATTAAGGTAAGTATCGATGTCTTTTTTGAGCTTCGAAGTCGATTTTGAATTTTTTTTTTTTTGAAACCCGCCGGCAATTTTCGACACATACAGGTCGATTTTTTGGTCAATTTTCGACACCAGCGTGTCGAAAAATATATTTAGAAAAAAAAAAAACAAATTTTGACACATACCTGTCGAAATTTCTCCCAATTTCGACAGGG